CTTTCCACTACCATTTTGGCACAATACGACCGATTCGACTGGCGACTTTGAAAAACAAACGAGTTTGATTATGAAGGTCATTGTTGAATTTTGTTGAGCTGAATTCAGTTACATTGTGCCAAAATGGTAGCTTTTGCCCCATCCACAAAGGGAAATCTAACTGGCACCTTAAGGCTTTCTGGCTCTGGCTTATTACTAGATCAATTTTTACCAAATTTCGCACATATAACAAGAATAGTAAGGAGTCTTAAAATCTTCGATCAAATTTGAGAAAAACTTTCGCTTCCATGGCTACGGCGGCCATATTGGATTTTATTGACGTGTCTTATGTAATGAATACCGCAATTTTTAAAATTTTTTTTTACTGTTTTCTTTTGGAAAAGGGGGGGGGGGATACGTTGTTTTTTGCATGCATGTTAAGAAACATAAGAGCTACAAAATTTTCTGTTGAATTGTTTCTAAACGAATTACAGGATTTTTAATGAATTTTTTCCTGAGGCAGTATTTATGTTTACAAAAATTCCGTGAAAATCCACACTCCAGATACCACCAACAAAAATTGATTCAATATATAAAAAATTCAACGAAAAACGTTTTAGTATTACATCTTCTCTTCATTTTGTGAAATTTTCATGAAGATTGGATAAAAAAATGGTGAGGTTATTTTTTAAAAGTGTATAGAAAAACCGCGTTTTGAGAAAACAGGTGATAAAGAGAAATAAAATATTGACTTAATGAGGAAATGGTGGTGACAAACATGCCCAGTTTGGGAAGAAATAAGGCTTTAGGCCTGGGGGTTCTAATGCTATGGAATGAAGAAGTTAAATATGCCTATAACTCTAAATCTTCTATAATTTTCAGCAGAATCAGGAATTTTGGAAAGTGTAGCCCCCCCCCCCCCCCTCTTTCCCTGCAACGCAAACCTCCACAACAGTTTTCGTGTTCCATTGACCTGTACCCATAAGCACTTTGTATGAATTCAACAACAATGCATAAACTTATCCTTTATACACCAGCACGCCTTCCTCTATCTGCGTCTTTTTCTTGCTCCACTCCTTCCTTCCTTCATTCACCCACTTCAACAGCCTTTCACTAGTTCGTCTTTTGAATACACCGTGGTTTCTGATAGATTTTCGAATGAATAAATAAACTGTATAATGAACTCTCTTACACGTTATGTTATGCGTTCTTTGAATGAACGAGCCATACAATGAGTAGGGTTGTGCGAACAAAATTAAAATTTCACTGCTTAGAATTACAAAGTTCTATCTGCTCCGTAACTGGTTTTGAGAAATTTGACGTTAAAAAATTGAGTTTAACCGCATATCAAGCTTTATCGAACGCAGTTCTTTGAATATCTTGATAACGACTCCAAATAATCTAACGTTTTTGGAAGAGCAGATAGAACATTTGATTTCTGACCTCATGGTCTTAGTAACTCAAAACGACCGATATGTCAGATAAAACTTTGTAATTCTAAGGAAGCGAAATGCCGTCTGGCGACTGGATAACACAGAACTATCAGGTCACAGAGGTGCTCAAGCGGGTGGTTTGCGGGTGCTCTGGTCTCGTTTACTCCTTCTTTTTGTATCAAACATCTGATTCTATCGTCCATATCTCTCCTCCTTTTTGTGTTTGTTACTCTCTTATAATACCACTAATTTTCGGCACTTACATAACCCGGGTGTGTTGTAAGTGCCGTAAAAGTCTTGTTAAGAGAGAAAGAAAAAAGGACTCTTTTGCTCGTTATGTTATATCCTCTTTGAACGAACGAAACGCACATTGGGTTGGGCTGTACCAACAAAATGACAATTTGCCGTTCGACGACGTTCCGTTTCAATGGATAATACAGCGCCTTCATAACACAGAGGTGCTACGTTCTCGGAGGTGTCAAGGGTCATTGTCATTGTGGGTCTGGTTGATAAATGAAGTCTTTTGTCAGGTACCTTGCCCCCTCCCCCCCCACCCCAATTCCCTCATAATACTCTATCTCAGACTCTCTCTTTTTTCGTTCTCTCTCTCTCTCTCTCCCTCTCTCTCTTTCTCTTCTTTCTCTCTCTTTCTCTGAGTGTGTGTGTGTGTGTGTGTGTGTGTGTGTGTGTGTGTGTGTGTGTGTGTGTGTGTGTGTATGTGTGTGTGTGTGTAAGACCTTTATTAATAGATAGACAGATAGAACAAGAGAGCAAGAGAGAGAGAGAGAGAGAGAGAGAGAGAGAGAGAGAGACAGACAGAGAGAGAGAGAGAGAGACAGAGACAGAGACAGAGACAGAGACAGAGACAGACAGACGGACAGACAGACAGACAGACAGACAGACAGACAGACAGACAGACAGACAGAGAGAGACACACAGAGAGAGATTGAGAGACAGAGAGAGGGAGAGAGAGAGAGAGAGAGAGAGAGAGAGAGAGAGAGAGAGAGAGAGAGAGAGAGAGAGAGAGAGAGAGAGAGAACTGCGAAGTGACGGTGGGGGCGGTTTCTCCTTTGGAGGAGGGGTGGGTAGGGGGTAGGTCAAAAAAAAAAAAATCTGCAGTGGTAAAAGAACAAACACAATGCACATTGAAGTGTAGATTGATTTTCTTTTTTTCTTTTTTTTCTCTTTTACAGGTTCACCATGGCACATGAACAACAGCGCCTTCTTGCAAATGTACAGAGTGAGTATGGAAACTAATTTGTTGTCTGAAGCCTTTGTGAAGCGCATAGAGCTTGCTGTTCAGCGGGGATTTGCGCTATGCAAATGCTATCTATTTTTTAGATTATTATTCTTTTATACCACTTATAGAGTTTTACGACTGCTCTTCGCGGGTCCTAATCCCTGAAGGTTTTGTTTTGACATGTATCAGAAAAACTTTACCGAAAGGGTTAATTCTGTTTCTTTCATTTCCCACGTATGGCAATACGAAAAAGGGACATCTATCTATCTATCTATCTATCTATCTATCTATCTATCTATCTATCTATCTATCTAACTGTCTGTCTGTCTGTCTATCTAACTGTCTGTCTGTCTGTCTGTCTGTCTGTCTGTCGTAAAATTGTTGAATTCCACACCATACTTTTCAATTGTGTTGTGAGACAAGTGTTATAGAAGCTACTGTATGTAGAAAGAGGACACATCCTCCACAACAGTTTTACTTTGTGTCAGACAAGTTAGGAAACAAAACATAATATGAATTCTATGATATCACCATCCCCATACTTCCATTTTTCAGCTTAATTAAAAATTCAATATTGTGGTGCAATTCCACACCAACATGAGCACACATGCCAAAAAGAAAACAAAAAGACAGACATACATGAAATTAAAGCTGAATTGAAAAATAAAACAAGGCAGACAGAAGCAAATGATTAAAGCTGAATGTCAAACAGATTTCTGTTGGTTCTAAGGACTGTAAGTTGGGGTGTGGAATTACCCCTGGTGTGGAATTCCCCCACCTTCCTATACCTATCTATCTATCTATCTGTCTGTCTATATGTCTGTCTGTCTGTCTGTCTGTCTGTCTGTCTGTCTGTCTGTCTGTCTGTCTGTCTGTCTGTCTGTCTGTCTGTCTGTCTGTCTGTCTGTCTGTCAGTCTGTCTGTTCCACTCAGTGTTTCTCAACTACTCGGTCTGGTTATAATAGTTAATGTGTTAGGTTGTTTTTTTTCAAACAGTTTTCTATCCTTACCAAGGACACAAATTATTTACTTTGAAATTTGCCAAACCAAATCGGGTTAATTTTAGTCATTTTACGACAAGGGTATGAATATGGAAGGAATCGGAAAAGAGCACTCATACTGCCTTATCAAACTATTCTATTTTTTACCACTAAATTATATAAACTGTTATTTTCATTGTCTCCCCAACACAATAATAATAATATAATAATAATATATAACATTTATATAGCATAGCGCATTTCCAAAAAAAGTAGCTCAATGCGCTTTACATTGGAATACCCATTTTTCAAAAACCTTTCTTACTACTTCCTTTCTTCTCAAGCAATATACATTAATGCATACACACACATACACACACACACACACACACACACACACACACACACACACACACACACACACACACACACACACACACACACACACACACACACACACACATACAGAGAGAGAGAGAGAGAGAGAGAGAGAGAGAGACTATTTTCATCCAGACATAGGAACAGAACAAATATAATGAAAGATAACGTTAAAAGCTTATGAAGGATAGGCCTGTAGGAACAGAAAATGTTTAAGATGTCTTTTGAAGCTATCAAGAGTTCTTATTTGTCTTAGTTTCATGGGTAATCTGTTCCACATAAATGGACCAAGATATGAGAAAGATCTCTCTCCATATGATTTGTATGATTTTACAGGTGTCACAAGTAGGGTGTTATCGTTTGATGATCTTAGGTTTCTCCCTGGTTTATATATACTGATAAGTTCTTGTAGATAAAAAGGAGCAGTTTTATTTACACATTTGAAACACTTGACGCAGATTTTAAATATTATTCGTTCTTTTACAGGGAGCCAATGCAATTCTTTTAATAATGGAGTGACATGGTCTCGTTTTTTAGATCTTGTTATCAGTCTAGCGGCATTGTTTTGAATTACTTGTAAACGATTCAAATATTTGTTGTTCAGACCTGCTAGGAGTGAGTTACAATAGTCTAATCTAGATAGGATAAGAGATGTTACCAGTGTTTTTGCGGTCTTTTCGTTTAAGTACTTTCGAACGAAATCTGCTGTCTTTAACTTTAATCTGCTCCTCTACTCTTTAAAAAAGATAAACTATTTTTACTTTCTCTCTCTCTCTCTCTCTCTCTCTCTCTCTCTCTCTCTCTCTCTCTCTCTGTGTGTGTGTGTGTGTGTGTGTGTGTCTGTCTCTATCTCTGTCTGTCTGTCTGTCTGTCTATCTGTCTGTCTGTCTGTCTGTCTGTCTGACAAAAGGAAAGTCTGCCGTCTTATGGAACTCTTCGACATTTATCACCACAAAGTCTGTCTCCTTATCAAACACCTCGACATTTTATAAAACACTTTACAAACTATTATCAAGGTCATCCTAACAAAACGAAATGCCCCCCCCCCCCCTTCCCTGTTCCCATTTTAATCAAACCAATCTTCAGGCGTCAGGTCGGTGTCCACGGAAGCGTCAATTCCCGCAATTCATCCCAAGGCCGCTGACCAGAGAAACAAATTCCTGAATGGACAATGGGCAGCATAGAGTGATTATGTCTAAGGTATTTCTGGACCCGAGATTGATGAGAAAGAAGGCAAGGACTGAACTTACTCAAATCAGTGGACTGTGTCGTGCAATAGCTATACGCTTTCATGGGAATGTTCAACTTGTAATGATTGATTTGGTTGTTTGAGTAAGAGGCAAGAACTTAAGATTTTGAAAATGGACCTCAATCATACAACACCTTACTTATCATTTCATAAATTAAAAAAAGCACATACCCGTAAGAGAGTGCAACTATGCCCCTTGCCCACATCGAGGCAAATATTCAAAGGAATCCGATCAACAGCCTCTGATATTTCGCTGTACTAAAATTCCAAACCCCTAAAAACCCAGTTTTGAGAAAACGCTTAAAAACGTCTTTACATTATCATTACATGTTAAACACAAAACATTCAACCCAAACACACCCTTAAATCAAACAATGCAAAAACGGACAAAATAATAAGGAAAGTAGAAGGACCGATGGTAGATAACCGTGTTTATATAAAAGTTCTGGGAATCTCAAAACTCTTTGGATTTTTATTTGACAAAAATTCAGTCATCTTTTTCCCTGTCAGAGAGAGTGCACTACTTTTATTAATTCCCACGGTCTTTCAATTTATTCATCAATGGCGGAAGAGGAACCACATGATCAATACCATAATCATGAATTCCCCCTTTCACCATATCCGTATACCATCTCTCCACTTCTGGACGCAACCCACAAACCCGTTATACTGCCCCCCCCCGCCCTCTCCTCAAACACACGCACCCGGCACCACATTCCTGTTCTGATCATTCTGACCGTAACTCCTCACGTCAACTCGTACACCCTCTCATCACCCCATCCCTTTATCTCTTCCCTCGTGACACATACGGTACTTTTGACCCAAAGTTAAACATTACTTGTGAGTATAATTATCACCAAACTTGTGCGTGTGTGTGTGTTTTGTATGTGTGCTCTTCATAAAACTGCTACGATTTTATTTCCAAAGTGAAGTGGCAAAAGGTTTATGAGCTCAGTGCAGATGACATCACAGCTGCCATTTTTCTTGTCTTTTTGCTTGGGATTCTTTTGTGTCATTATGGTCTAATGGCTGGGACACTTGATCAGTCTGAAATTTGCCTTATCATTATGCTTCTGACTCGGAGTGGAAGATTTCTGATTTTATCCCTAAACACGTGTGGCATTGAGTGTGCTTTTCACACGTATTCTGTGTAATGATGTCTTTGTAAACTGAAGAGGCGACACATTTATGAACGCATGCCCTTTTGCATGGGATTCTCAACTCTTTTGTAACCCCCTGGCTGGGACAAATTAGGAAGTCTGATATGGGCTTTGCGAGTGAACGTCTATCACAACTTTTACAGGTTCCAACAGACAAGTTGAACTTTGGATGAGTTGATCTATTTTTACCCCCCCCCCCTCCCGACGACATCAACTCCTCTGTAGTCGACTGTTTTAACATTCGAGTAGAAAAGTGTATGTACTCGATGCAATAGTAGACTACTACTCGTGTAGACACAACCATTGTCTTTTATGTGAAATGGGAGAGTCTAATCATTCCGGTTCTGAGTAGAGTCATACCCATAGACATGAATTATAACATGATTATTATCCTAGATCTTGCACTGTCATGGCCGCCTGTCTTTTTTCCCATTAAATAAAACCCTTGCTGCATGAACGACCAAATAAAGGACATAACACCTCACTGAACTCTCGCTATAACTGAGTGCGTGCAGCAACCCTCCACCCCCCTCTTTTGCCCTTCATTTGGCTCTAAATTGAGTCAAATTGTAAGCTTCATTTTGGACTGAAATTACATAGTGCACAGTCTAGGATATTATAATAAAAGCAAATCTATGGGCCTAGCATGTTGTATAACAACCCTTGCGGACAACAGTTATAAGCATGCGTGTGCATTCTTTGCTTAGCTGGTAAAGGAATATTACGAGTATGTATGATTAAATAAAATAAGATGTTTTAAAAGTAACAATTCATGCGGGTTTTTTTTTTTAATTCAGCTAACTTCTTGCACTTTTTGGATGTTGACTTTCTTGCGTTTTGGGCGCCCCTTTTTTAAATGTAGTTCATTTTGCGCCCCACTCGACACAATTTAGAAAATTTATGTGGCGGGTTTCCGACCTTGCTTGTCAGGACGAACCTGGTCAGAGAGAGAGATACAACACAAAGACTGAGATGCTGGATAAAAGTTTACTCCCATCTAAGAAATCGAGCTCGGGTCTCCTGCGTGCGACAGCGAGCGTCTAACCATTACACTACAGATGCTGGCAGTGTATTTGTGATTACTTTAAAAATCGCAAAAGCCATAGTGGAAATACGGAAGTTAACAAAGCAAAGTATAAGGATGTATCTGGTGGCTTTCTAAACTATCAGTTTTGATAATTTCTGCCTCTGATATGTGTACGCTATTTTAAGAATTTACTCTTGATTTAGATTGTTACGCTTGATTAGATGTTCTGGGAACTATGCCAATAGAACAGGTTTGTGATCTTTATTGTTAACATGTATAAATAATAATAGACTGCAAGCAGAATGAAATAACTCATCGACTTACAGCCAGAGCGAAAGAAAGCGGTAAAAGTAAAATAATAGCCGCCCACAGTCAAGACGTCGGTTCGAAATCTCGATATTATATATCAAGGGATGTAACTAATACCTATTGTACCCATCTACGGTCATATGTATTGAATTCATAGTTATTTCCCCTGAGAAACGAAAGCTGACCGCGTTCTCTGATAAATTTCTTGAGCGACACGTTACAAGTAAACATATTGTAAACATTAAAAAGCAATTTCCTTTTAAATTTTAAGCAGAAATACCGCACTCTTGCTTTATACTATTTACCGGGTGTTGTTTCAAACAAAAGGAGATCCATAACGATTTGAAGTAATATCCAGTATAAAAGTACGTAGAGTCTACTGAAAAATTATGTTCATATTCAATACTAACGCATAAAGCTTGTCTGTCAATGTATGACGATAACTAATGAGCAGAGGAAAATATTTCGAGAAGAGAAGTAATGTTCGATTTAAATTATTTGTGACTTCTGCTATGGCATATGAGACCAATTATGACAAGCGTTTACAGATAAAACTATTTTATGAAGAGAAATTGAAGAATGGTATGGATTAAGATGAAATTCTGGCAGAGAAGAGGTTACCACATTTTGAGTACTTAAAAGTTTCACAATATGCACTTGTGGATGTGTGCAACTTGTGGGCTTCTCTTGTGTTATCTACAGTTCTTATTTTCAAAATCTCATTATGATTTGCTGCCCTCAACGTTTGCAGCCCTCTGTGAAGGCTACTCTCTAACTGGGTCTGCCAGGAGCGAGGCTCACCCATGGACAATAAGAGAACAAATTCAATGTTAATTTGAAGTAATTAATCATCGTATCGTACTTGTATAACTGTGCAGTTACCATATTCAATTTTATCTCTGGAGTAAAAGGTAATAAGCTTACCCGGCGTCAAGGCTGAAATAGGTATTTGGTGTACAAATAAATCAAACGCTCAGCGTTGGCATAGCCAACTGGACATGTGACATGCTCTTAATGGCCAATGAATAATTGTTTCTAGCATAAAGTAGCCAATTGTAAATGTTTTTACGCCCCCATCGACACATTCATATTTAGATCATTTAGGAAGCGGACTTCCAACCCTGCCTGTCACAGCCAATCCGAGCAAAGAGGGATACAACCTCCCAGCTGACAGACAGAGACTGCCTGCTAGATAAAACATTCACCCGCCTCGGGAATCGGAATCGGTTCTTCTGCGAGTGACATGCATAAAGCACCTAACCGCTACAAGTAATAAATAAATAAATTACATTTAGATCTATATAGCGCATTTCCACAAAGAAGTGCTCAATGTACAATATTACAAAGAACATATTATGCAGCGCACAGCTCCTATAGTATAGTAATCCCCCTTCTCTCTTTCTCACTCTGTCTCTGTCTATGTCTGTCTGTCTGTCTGTCTGTCTGTCTGTCTGTCTGTCTGTCTGTCTGTCTGTCTGTCTGTCTGTCTGTCTGTCTGTTTGTCTCTCTCTCTCTCTCTCCAGTACATACTTGAGTAAAGGCAATCCCACAAAGCTTACCCAGACACTCTCGCACACATTGATTGATGAATTCACACAGTCATAAATTCTGACAGAACAGAACAGCATGAATAAACGGTACTGAGTGAACATAATAATATTTGTATAGAGAATGTCGGAAATTACAGACTGAAGCTGGACTGAAACAAATGCGTTTTAAGTGCTGATTTAAATTTTGATAAAATGGTAGACTCCCGTAGATGAGCTGGTAAAGCATTCCACAGGGAGGGGGCGTGGTGTGAAAAAGCTGTCCCTCCGAGTCTCTGACTTTTGCTTTGGACAGATCTTAAAAGTCTTTGTCGCCGATCTTAAAGGCCGAGATGGTTGTCACCATCTGGATTGAAGAAAACAGGGACAGCCTGAGAGGTTGCTTTGAATGTACGAATTGGAATGTTTTTAAAGATTCATGTAATAGTATAGATGAATTATGTGAGACTATCGCAGGTTACATCAGGTTTTGTGAAGACCTACATTCATCTAAAAAAGAAATTATCTACTACCCAAATAACAAGCCATGGGTTAGCAAGGAGTTAAAGGAAATATTAAATGAGAAGAAGAAGGCATTCAAATTGAAAGACAGAGACAAATTAAAAAGAACAAATAATATGTTAAAGAAAAAAATAAGAGAGTGTAAGCATGTTTACAAAGAAAAGTTAGAACAACATTTTACTGCTAACAACACAAAAATGACGTGGCAATGTTTAAAAACTATAGTTGGAGACATACCAAGACGGACAAACATTCCTACACAAGACACGAACACAAGTCAGTATGTAGACAAACTGAATTCTTTTTACGCTCGTTTTGACAACCACGATTTCTCCGACCAGCTGACAACTGTCAAAGAGACGATTCAAAATGACCACACAGACAACAACAACAACAACACAGACGAAGAGTATGACAAGAGCAAGGACATTTTTGTGGTTAATGTTAATGAGGTCAAGATCATGTTTAATCGTCTGAAAGCTCACAAAGTAAGTGGACCCGAGGGAGTAAAAAGTAACATTATTAAAATGTGTTCTACTCAGTTATCTCCCATTTATACTGATATTTTCAATATGTCTTTGAAAGAACGAATAATACCACTCTCATGGAAATGCTCTGAAATAATTCCTGTCCAAAAGAAACAATCAATACAAAATTTGAACGACCTAAGACCTGTGGCTTTAACATCAGTCCTCATGAAATGTTTAGAAAAACTGGTTTTGAAAGAACTGAGGAAATCAACAGAAGACATACAGGATAACATGCAATTTGCCTATCGTGCCAAGAGGGGCGTGAAGGATGCCAGTCTCGTGTTCTTAGATAACATCTATAAACACATAGACACACCAAGAAATAGCTGCAGGATACTTTTTGCTGATTTTTCACCCGATTTCAACACAATCCAACCGCCCATAATGGTTTCAAAATTAATTAACATGAACATAAACAAGAAGATTATTGCTTGGATTCTTGAGTTCTTAACCAATCAACCTCAATATGTAAAATTAAATGGTGTAAAATCGTACCTAATATTCACGAACACCGGTGCGCCCCAAGGCTGTGTAATCTCCCCTGTCTTGTTTACCTCTACACCAACGACTGTACTTTTGATAACAAAAACATCAAACTAATATAATTTGCGGATGATTCCACTCTACAAGGCCTTATAACAACAAATGAGAATGAATACAGGGACGCTGTGAACCTTTTTACAAATTGGAGCGATAACCACTTCCTTTTACTAAATGTAAAAAAGACAAAGGAATTAATAATAGACTTTAGAGTAAAAAAAGACCAATTGCAACCACTGTTTATTAAAGATGAAGAGGTGGAGGTGGTAAGCTCTTACAAGTATCTTGGAGTAACAATCGACTACAAACTTGACTGGCATCCCCACGCTGCTCTTGTGCATAAAAAGTAAATCAAAGAATGTTTCTTTTAAGGAAATTAAGAAGTTTCCGTGTTGACAATAAGATTATGTCCCTTTTTTTTACCATTCTTTGATTGAACATGTGCTATTATTTTGTATTTGCTGCTGGGGTGGGGAATTGTAAGGTGAAAGATAAAGAAAAATTTGACAGAACCATTAAGAAAGCCAACAAGATCTCTGGGTATGATTTTAATAGAATGGATGAAATGTATAACACCACATGTATAAAAAAGATAAAAAGCATTATAATCGACCCATCACACCCCTTTTCCACACAAAATGTAAGATCACGCAGCGGCAGAAGCATACGCCTTTTGTCAGAATGAGTATAGATGTGTGTTGCTTTTAGAGTATGTATCTGCATATAACTCCAAAGGTCTAGTATATTTAAATTCCTGCATGTGGTTGAATGATGCATTTGATGTAAATGTACATTTTGTCAGCTTTACTTCTCTTTCATATTGAATTTTAATGAGAGTCATATATATAATTTAAATTCTTTTATGTATACCTGCATGTGTTTTTACGGTCCTGTACAGCCAAGGAAATTTTCTTCTGGGATAATAAAGTACTATTTTATCTTATCTTATCTTATTGGATGACCATGTCACAAAGATCATAATGCTGCTATGTTGTTGACGCACTTAAAACAAAAAACAATTTTTTTTGTACTGAATGAACTCGTGCTTTCACCGAGAGCCAATGCAGTTGAATTAGCATTGGTGTTATGTGCTCTTTGAGAGATTTCTTTAAAATTATGCCAGTAGCTTGGCTCTGGAGTCGCTGCAACCTATTTAACGTTTCATTGGGAAGGGTTTCAAACAAAGAATTGCAGTAGTCTAGACGTGAAAAGACAAAAGAAAAGATGAGGGTTTTGATGGAATCAACACTAAGATATGTGGACATTTGTCCTATTCTGCGTAGTTCTGAATAAATAACTTTACATAGATGGTTTATATGGTGGTGCATAGAGAGTTTGCAGTCAAATTAAACGCCTAGATTTTTCGCTTTATCTGTGAAAAAGATGTTATCATTCCAACACATGTATGGTCAAAATTGCAAAGCAATATCCCTGGTTTGGCATTGCAAAACAGAAGTTCGGTCTTATCATCTTTCATTTTAAGTCTGTTTGATATTTTACCTCCACAATACAATTTTCCATGCTGGTAACTAGACAATTGCAATTTGTTGGTAAAACAGACTTGTACAGCTGAGTGTTGTCTACGTACATGTGGTAGTTAACGTCGTGCTTCCCTATTATTGAATAATAACATACGTTAGTTAGCCTATTTGTAAACGATACAAATCAAACCAGTGGCAAAATCAAAATCCTTTCCGTGTCTTTGGTTAGCCAAGTTTGAATGTCAGTTTGTACAATGTTTAAACGCTTAATCGGCTGCTTGAACTATGAGGTTCAAGTATTCTAGGGTTATCTTTTTTCAGGGTGGGGATGGGGTAGATCTAATCATTTATAGTATATGTATGTTATGATAAAATAAAGTAATAGAATTTTTACTTTTATTGTTCCTCGAGGGGAAATTTGTTTTACAATGCCAACATAATATACGGTGCGTAAATATATGTATATCTCTCTAATAGAATACATTTTCAAGTTTGTTTTGGACGCCACTGTGTGTTATATATGTGCGCTCGTGTGTGTGTGTGTGTGTGTGTGTGTGTGTGTGTGTGTGTGTGTGTGTGTGTGTGTGTGTGTGTGTA